TATTATTATCATTATTATTATATTACTAAAAGTTAAAAGGGGAATAGAGCACGCTCACAAGACGCTAAACGCACGCAGGCTACATAATTATGTTACAATCATTTCCATACCGCCTCCTACCGTGTGCCCGTTGCGGATGGGATCAGGTAGGGTCGAGTCATGTCGGGTCGATCGCCCGACTCGTCGCCTGAAAACAAACGCGTTTGTTTTTTATACGGGGTGTCAATTGGGGGATCGGGTCGGGTCGCGGTGGTTTGCTAGCCAGATTGAGGGCGTCAGGCGGCTATCGTGGCACAAGCCGACCGCGCTCGACTTGTCGCCTCAAAAACGAACACGACGGGGTGCCCATTGCGGACGGGATCGGGTCAGGTCGGGTCGGGGGTGATCGTTTCACTTGTCGCCTGAAAACAAACGCGTTTGTTTTTGAGGCGACGAGTCGGGCGCGATCGGCTTGTGCCACGATAGCCGCTTTGCGCCCTCAGTCTGGCTAGCAAACGGCCCCGACCCGACCCGGTCCTCCAATGGACACCTTGTATCAGCCGACGAATCGGGCGATCAACCCGGCCCGACCTGACCCGATCTCATCCGCAATGGGCACCCGGTAAAACACGATCGGTTTGTGCCACGATAGCCGCTCTGCGCCCTCAATCTGGCGAGCAAACCAACCCGACCCGACCCGATCCCCCAATGGACACTCCGTTAAAGGAGACGACAAATTTTCTTTAAAAAGATTCTTTATCATTTTTATCGCACTCTGACTTGATCTTTGTCTGTGTTTCTCAAAACATCTCACTGGTCCGTCCCACAGGGGTCAAATTAAGTAGTATCACACGCCCAAGCGCACGTGTGATGTTTCAGTCGTGTGACGTGTGACTTCAACGAATTCTTTTTATCGCAATCTAACCGGATCTTCGCATGTGTTTCTAAAGAATCGTATAGTCCTATGGAGGTCAAAGTAGTGGGTGGGTGACTATGGTGTGTGTTACTCCTTCTTTGCTATCAAAGTTAGGCGGAGCGCTGAAACCAATTGCACCAATGGCGCCCTGCCACTGGCGTACATATCTCTCCTTCTTTTCTTTTTAGACTCGAGAAGCATTTCTAAATCTTCGGCGCTTATATCACCTATTTGTGTTAAAAGTGCCAAATACTTTTACCAAAACTAAAAACAAAAACAAAACAAAACTAAAGGAGGTCAAATAAAGTGCTTGTCGTCCTACATATTGTAGGCTACTTTCATACGACAGTAGTGCACATGTGCGGAGCTTCCAAGTCGTGTGATTGACCTCAGCGGGGTGTGACACGACATTCGTAAGGCGAGAGTGCGGGAACGTTATCAAACAGGTAATTGCCAGGGCTAGCAAAATCAAAAAGCTGCTTGCTTCTTATCAGTTCAAGAGGTGGCATTCAGGAC